GAGAATCATTAGTCCTAGTGGGGATAGCTTCCACCCACTTTGAAACATAATCAACAGCAAGTAAAATGTAAAGGAAACCAAATGATACAGGAAAAGGACCCATGAAATCGATTCCCCATACATCAAATACCTCACAAAAAAGCATCGGCTGCTGAGGCATTTCACTCTTGCGAGTGATGTTTGTACCTGCTATTTGGCACTCTTTACAAGTGCGGTAAGTCTCAAAAGCATCCTTAAAATTAGTTGGCCAATAGAAACCTGAATCAAGGACTTTTCTCGCAGTCCTTTGAGGACCGAAGTGTCTGCCGACTTGAGATGCATGAGAAAATTTCAAAATAGATTCAATCTCATTGTCGGGGACACATCTCCTGATTACCTGATCACTACCAAACTTCCATAGATATGGATCATCCCAAACATAATACTTGGCATCACTCTTGAGTTTGTGAACCTGTGCTCTCGATGCACCTGTGGGAAAAACACCAGCAACAAGAAAATTAACAATGTCAGCAAACCAAGGTGTAATCCCGTGCAAAAGAAACAACTGCTCATCAGGAAAGTCATCCTGAATAGGAAAAGGGTCTTCATCTCTCTCTATCCTGCTTAAGTGGTCAGCCACTAGGTTCTCAGCTCCACTTTTGTCTTTAATCTCGACATTAAACTCCTGGAGCAACAACATCCACCGAATCAATCTCGGTTTTGCATCCGGCTTCTTCAGCAAGTACTTTAAAGCTGCATGGTCAGTAAAAACAACAACCTTGGAACCTAGCAAATAAGATCTGAATTTGTCAAGAGCAAAAACAATAGCTAGCAGTTCTTTTTCAGTGGTAGTGTAATTTGACTGTGCAGAATCTAAAGTCCTAGAAGCATAGTAAATAACATGGGCAGCCTTGTCAACTCTTTGTGCAAGGACAGCCCCAACAGCATAATTCGAAGCATCACACATAAGCTCAAAAGGAAGTGTCCAGTCAGGGGGCTGAATGATGGGAGCGGAGGTCAATGCTTTCTTCAAGAATTCAAACGCTTGTTTGCATTTGTCATCAAAATCGAAAGTGACGTCATTCTTCAACAAGTTCGACAACGGAAGAGCTATCTTGCTGAAATCCTTGATGAAACGCCTGTAAAAACCTGCATGACCAAGAAAAGAACGAATCTCGCGAATGCAAGAAGGGTAAGGAAGTGTAGAAATCACATCAATCTTAGAAGGGTCAACAGAAATTCCTTTTTCAGAAATAATGTGACCAAGGACAATTCCCTGCTCAACCATAAAATGACACTTTTCATAATTCAACACAAGGTTAGTCTCGATGCATCTTTCTAAAATCAAGCTTAAACTGTTCAAGCATGCATCAAAAGAAGAACCATAGACAGTAAAGTCATCCATAAACACTTCCATGCAATTTTCAATAAAATTAGAGAAAATACTCATCATGCATCGTTGGAAAGTGCCAGGAGCATTGCAAAGGCCAAAAGGCATCTTCCTGTAAGCAAATGTACCGAATGGGCACGTGAAAGTGGTTTTTTCTTGATCTTCAGGTGCAATATGAATCTGAAAGTAACCTGAAAAACCATCAAGAAAACAATAATGTGATTTACCAGCTAGCCGTTCAAGCATCTGGTCAATGAATGGCAAAGGAAAGTGATCCTTTCTAGTAGCCTGGTTCAGTCTCCTGTAATCAATACAAACTCTCCAGCTGTTCTGGACTCTAGTGGGAACAAGTTCATTCTTTTAATTTTTTACCACTGTGAGTCCAGATTTCTTAGGTACAACCTGCACTGGACTTACCCACTTACTGCCAGAGATAGGATAAATGATACCTGCTTGCAAGAGTTTGGTTACCTCTTTCTTTACAACATCAAGAATCAAAGGATTAAGCCTCCTTTGGGGCTGCCTTACTGTTTTCGCTCCATCCTCAAGTAAAATCCTGTGCATGCACATCGAAGGACTAATACCTGGAAGGTCGGCTAATGTCCACCCGATTGCTTTCTTGTGCCTTTTCAATACCTGCAAAAGTCTGTCTTCTTGATCGAAATCAAGGTTAGAAGAGATAATAACAGGAAGTTTTTCATTATGCTCCAAGTAAGCATATTTCAGGTTCCCAGGGAGCTCTTTTAGCTCTAAGGACGGGGGCTGCTCGATGGATGGAATGCTTGGGGCAGCCGGGATGTCAAGATCATCGACGACAAAAACAACCTCATCGGTAACAACTTCACCTGTAGGAAATGTATCAGGCTGCAAGGAAGCATCAATCTCAGCACAAAGAACACAAACGTTAGTGTCAGTGCAATCAGGACATGAATAAGTATCATCAAAATCAGAGAGAGATGGAAAATCAAGTGCAAATAATTCAGAACAACTATCATCAACTAGTTCAGAAATCAACTCAATGTGAAAAATAGAATGCTCCTCCAAGGGATGTTTCATGGCGTCAAAAATGTTGAATTTTGCGACGATGTCACCAAATTCCATGGACATGGTTCCATCGTCAACATCAATCTTCGTTTTTGCCGTTTTCATGAACGGTCTGCCTAAAATTATGGGAGCTCTGGTTGTCTTGGTTTCGCCTTCCATGTCTAGAATATAAAAATCTGCAGGAAAAATCAAATCGTTAACTTGAACAAGGACATCTTCGACAACCCCGGCGGGTCGAGCGTTGCTCCTGTTTTCCAATTGAATGATTAAACCTGTATGCTGCAAAGGGCCAAGACAAAGGTTATTATAAACAGAAGTAGGCATAACATTAATGCCCGCTCCCAAATCAAGCATGCAATTCTCAAATTTACTATCCCCGATGGTACAAGGAATAGCAAATGTTCCCGGATCCTTCTGCTTTTGTGGCAGCACCTGAGTAGTGAGGGCTGAAACATTTTGCTCACTTACAACCTTGTCAGATGATTGTTTGGGCTGAATAAAGGCATAAATATTTCGTCCTAAGTTCAATCTTTCACTTCCCTTAATCCTCCTCTTGTTAGTACACAAATCTTTCAGAAACTTTGCATACTTAGGAAACTGTTTTATAACATCAAGTAGCGGAATATTTACCGCCACCTTTCGAAACACATCCAAAATCTCTCTTTCTTTGTCTCCCTCCTCAATTCTTTTATTTTTCAGAACTCTATGTGGGAAGGGGACTGGTGGCACATACTCCTTTTCTCTAATTTTTTCAGTTTCGACCATAACAGAAGAAGGAGAAGAAAGTGCAGCAGGGGAAGGTTCAGATGGAGAAAGTTCAGAAGTTACCTCAATGACTTTTTTATTTTTTTCAGGGGCTGGTTCTGTAACTTTTCTGGATCTCAAAGAAATAGCGCTCACATTAGCATTACCATTCGGATTGACAACAGTTTGTGCTGGAAGTTGGTTCGAACCTTGAGCTTGCATATTATTTATTTGAGTAGCAAGTTGTCCCATCTGTGTGGTCAAGGTCTGAATGCTAGTGTCGGTTCTTTGTTGGAACTGAAGGTTGTTCACGGCCATTTGTTTAACAAGATCTTCCAAGGATGGTCCGGAAGTAGTAGCTGGAGGGGTGTGATGTGGCTGGGGTAGTGGAACGGTGAGTTGTTGTTGTGAGGGCTGCTGATTTCCATATCGAAGGTTGGGATGATTCCTCCAATTGGGGTGATATTTGTTGGTGGACAAGTCAGGGGTGTTGTTGTACCTGTTCTGGTTGTAAAGGTTGGCTGCATAAGCTTGAGGCAGCTCGGTAACAGTATCATCTTTCAGAAGAGGACAAGTATCAGTGGGATGATCATGAGCTGTACAAATGCCACATACACTACAAGAAAATTGGCAGATTGCGACAGGTATTTTTGTAGATTACGACGGTTAAAACCGTCGCAATTTGCTTTCCACGACGGTTGCTTTACCGTCGCAGAAGTGTGTGTCCCCAACCTATTTCGCGACGGTTACAAAAACTGTCGTTCAAGTTTACGACGGGTTGATACCGTCGTGACTATCTTTTGAGTTTCTTTTAATTATTGATGGCGACGGTTCGATACTGTCGTGAATATCTTTTGAAATTGATTAAATTATTTATGGCGACGGTTCGATACCGTCATGACTTTTGTTGATTATTTTTAATTGTTGATTACGACGGTTCGCTACTGTCGCCATGACTTTTGTTTATGTCTTGATTTTTTTTTATTTTTCTATTATATATATTTTTTATTTAAATTATTATCTATGTAAAAATTTTAAATATAGTTTTTTTTTGTGTTATTTTTTTCTTTAAATTATTTCTTCTTTAATATATTTATTTATAGTATTATTTTTTGTTTTGTTTTCTATCACTTTGTAATATAGTAAAAATAATTTCAATAAAAAATATTTAACATCAAATAAGCATTATAATATCCAAAAAAATGTGTTCCATAATCATGTCAAATGCGAGTTCCATAATCATGTCAAGTAGTACAAAAAATCCAAAATATATCAATTCCTAATCTTATAATAATAAGTATCATTATGCCAAAAATACATGAGAAAGTTCACAATCTAATTATCTCGATCATAGCAAAGTCTAATTTGTCCCCCCTGAAGTTCCATTATCTCCAATACGGTAGCTAGACTCAGATGAACGTCTACCATGCCTGAGAATATAAAATCCAAGTGAAAATCTGAGGTATAAATGTATTTAAACCATAACAAGAGAATATATAAATATATGATCCAAAGTTGATGTCAACAAATGGAAGGAAAAAAAGGATCATACTTGTAACATGTAACTTGCAGTTGGATCATCAGCATCCAGTTGAGATTGTTGCAGTGACATCAAGACATCCATGACCTAGTCAATGAAGAATGAAAACCATACATTAGCACACAAAAAGTGAATAAGAATCAGATTGTATGAAATAAGATATAAAAACTATTTGGATAAAAAAATAAACAAAAATTTGCTTTTAGCTATGAAAATCCATTCAAAAAAGCAGGATGAATAAGAATCAAGAGCAACCGAGCAAATAGAATTGATGACCTTTTCAGATATACCAAGCTCTTGCCATTACTGCTTCCAAGTGGTTCTGTTTTTCCCTTCATACACCTGCAGTGCAAACTGAAGTAGCAACTTAAATCTGGTTATGTTTAAGAGGTCTGCATTCACCTCTTACCCTGAACTTCAAATGGTTGTGGCTTCAGCAACTGGTGCATCAGTATCACATACCTTGGGCTTAGGAGCCCTCCCTTGACCTTGACCACGACCACGACCTCGTCCACGACCTCGACCACGACCAGCTTGATTTTCATTCTTTAATTTCTCTTCACAATCATGCAACTTAGCTTCATCTTTTTTCTTTAATTTCTCTTCACGGTCATGCAGCTTAGCTTCATCTTTTTTCTTTAATTTCTCTTCTCGGTCATGCAACTTAGCTTCATCTTTTTTCTTTAATTTCTCTTCACGGTCATGCAGCTTAGCTTGATCTTTTTTCATTAACTCCTCTTCTTTTTTCTTCAACTTCTCTTCTTTCTTCCTTAACTTCTCTTCTTTTTTCTTTAACTTATCTTCACATTGTTCAGTATCTTGAATTACCCTAGGAGGCCTCTCTGGACCTCTAGTTTGACCGTTCTGATACCTCTTGTTTTTGGTTGGTCCCTGTGTTAGCAGCAATGGCTTCTCTGGCCAGTCTGTATCATCAGTTTCTGACTTACGAGGCCTGTCTCTGGAACGCTTTCGCATTGGCTGTATCTGATCAAGACACTCAATAATCAGATTCTCATCAAGGCTTCCATCAGTATTCCCTTGATTGTAATCCAAAGGAAGCTCACCATCATCTACATTCGCACAAACTAGTGCAGTTGTTACATCTGTATCAATGTCAGCGGTAGAGATTATGCCCTCTGGTGACCCTTCTGCACAAACTATGCTACTTACCATCTGCACCAAATGAACTTTAATAGTAAATGTTCATTCTAACCATTTCTTTACTTTTTTTTTCTAAAGAAAAAGCCTAAAGAAAGCAGATTAGAAACTAGTGATAAAAGGGGCATGGAGTCCAGGGAAGTGGTAAAATAGCAAATTTCGCATCAATGAAACCCGGAATCCGACACAGATACAAACACATGAAATGATACGAAGAAAGACCAGTGTCCACAGCTAAAAACACAACTAATTCTGCTAATTCGTTGCTATTTGCAGTGTAGCGGAGTTCACATTAGTATCAATTTTTGTATTGGCTACCCCAAATTTCAATACGTAATGCTTATTTAAATAACTTGGTGAAGATAGTGTACTTCCCGTAGCAATAATTCATCAACATTTACACCTGCGTAGCAAATACGTAGCAAATACATGCTTTACAAAATGAAACTGAGAAATCTCCTAGATTTTAATATTATTGTCAGCAACAAAATCACATGAGCATCCAGGTATGACTATCAGAGCAGTAAGACAAGTACTAATCATGACAAATGCCAACCCCTAATCTAAACTGCTGGGATCCATAACAAACTCGAGTAAAGAAAGTACCAGAGCAGAAAAGGATCCAATGTGAATGGGAACACAATAACATTTCAAAATCAATTGTATTGATTTAGAATAACCAGCATGAGTATAATACAGTTAACTAGCCATTAACTATAAACACTGAAAATGAAATTCTCACCTTAGCAATAGACTTTGAGCAGCCAAAGAAGCAGCGGAATATTTCACCTCTGCAATAACAGCAGGGGTTGCAAGGGAGTTAAAATCTAGACAGGTATGTTATATTAAGATGCATCAAACTATAAACTTTTTATACACGTGAATAAAACAGAATGCATCATTAGGAAAAGCTATGTTTAACTGTTGCACTAAAATTCTTATAAAATTAATATTGAAAAGTTTGAATATCATCACAATTTGGCACACAAATTGGATTTCAATTGAGTAATTCCACATCTGAATCTTTATTATTAAATAGCCTCCATGCAAGTAAGAACACCTTATGAGGCACCAATTTGTTCCAGATAACATCACAAGTTGAAGAATCATTTATGTTGACATGATCCATGCAAGTAATAACACCTTATGAGGCACCAATTTGTTCCGGATAACATCACAAGTTGAAGAATCATTTATGTTGACATGATCCTGTTCATATGGTAATCTCTTTTGAATGAATAGCATTCTCTCGAGTTCTAATTTCACATCCAAACATTTAACATATTTTCAAAACGTTAGCCAACAAAATCCTACCACCTCATCTTCCTATTGACATGGTCTCTGTTCCCCGTCATTCTAAATAACCTACTAAATCTATTGAAATTCTTGAGCAGCTCTCCTCCCACTCAGGATCAAACTATAAATATGTATCTGACCATTTCCTACCAACTTTATACCTGGAATGTAATCTCTACCATTCACCAACCCATACTTAGTGAAAGTTGCCAAGCGGAGACCCCACGTAAATCACAGAAGAACACGAGTGTTTTTCTATTAAAAACAGGAAGTCGTAATAAAAAACGGTGTTATTACATCCATCCTTGGTTAAAAGGAGCTCCATTTTGAGAAGCCTTCAATAATATCCATTGTTATTACATGTTAAGGGTAAGACAAATCACTAAACATATTTAAAAAAAACTAGAATTGTAAACTCACTTCAGCTAGAGCACGGGCTTCCTTGAATGAACTTGATTCATCAACATCTTTAAATCTTTCAAAAGCATTCTTCTGCACAGTTTCTTCTGGAGACACATCTACAAAAGCTGCAATAAATAAATATTTATCAGGAAAATTTTAATTCCAGCAAATTTATATGGACACACTTCACAATTTGTTATAAACATGCATTATAGATAGGGATAACATACAAACCAGAGAAATCTAACAAATAAAAACACTAATGTTACCTGTGTTTTTTCTTTCCGCCTATATTGAACATAAACAGCCCAATCATTTTCAGGAATGCCTCTGCATTTTGGATAATTTTGAAGATTTTCCTCCAAAGGGAGATCCCATCTATTAAAATAACTCATGATGTGTATGTCTTCTTCAGTCTACAAACAAGACTTAAAGTTGCAGGGTAAGAGTGGAGAAGAGTCTCAACTATCTCACCAATTCGGCTGTTCGAATCATGTCATGATGACCTGTTGAGCGAAGTGCCCTGTAGATGACATCTGATTCTTTGAAGGCATCTGCTTCAATGACTACGGCATTTCCTGATGCTCCTGCCCAGAAAGGTCTGTTTAAATTTCATTCATAAAGAAACAACATTAGGTTCTTATAACTGTTTATTTTGACGATTTCATGATGAGAGTCATCGTTTACTGCAATACCCATCGCTTTCATCTCTCCCACTAATGTATTAAAAACACTAGCCACCTTCAGACTCTTGGCAACTCTCTCGAACCTTTGATCCCTGTGCAAAGAATACTATTCACCTTTAGAAAAAAATAACAATTCTTTGGAACATAATAATGATTCTCATCTCATTTTAAAATATATTATACTAGGTGTTCATAAAGAATGTTAGAAATACAAACCTAGTAGCAGCCATAACTATGTTCTTTAGCTTCTTTTTTGGCTCAGAAATGTCCGAGCTCAAAACCTGCAAAGCCAAAAAAATCAGTTTTAGAGAGTGTATTGCTGCTAACACCTCTGATATTTTGTTAATAACTAGATAACCCTGATACCTGACTTATCAATATGTCACAATGGTTCCAATGAAATCCAAAGTAACTAAGAATGCATCTCTCAAACTCTTCCACCAACTTGACATAAAGTGAATCAGCATCTGGTTCATTCTCAAAATAGGCATATATATCATCTTCAAACCCTTCATATTTGCTTATGTATTCAGAAGCCAATCTACATATATCAGGACCGATTCTCCTATCCTTGAACCCCATTTGCCTAGCTGTAACAAATCAAAGAAAATGACATATAGATTCATTCCAATTTCCAAATGATAAAATAATAACGGATCCATCAATGTATGTAATTGAATAGAATACATATTTTTTTGTATACATACGTAATGAGAGAATCTTTCAAGCTTTGGGGGGTGACCTGCACGCGATAATCTTAAACGCGGAATGATCTTTTGATCTCGAATCTTTTTGAGATGATAACGCAATGCTATGAAAAATATCAACCCAATAGATGAGATTACCAAGATCTGTGTAAAGCTGGGTTTAGCATCATAATCTGAATCAACATTGGATTGTGTGATGTTAATACAATGTCGAATATTTGTAATGAAGGAGTTTTCCAAACCAACCTCCTCACAGACATAGTGACAGGAAAGTTACACACAAAACATGAGTATCAAATACTCCCATGGTCTTAATTCCTCAGTCCTCACATTGCAATCAGGTAGAATAAATAAATGAATGTATGTTAGAAAACATGCATATATTTCTCAAAACAAGAGAATCTCATCTAAGACTATAACCCTATAAACAAAAAGTGTGATCATTTTGCTGCAGATCTGAGTAGATCACAAATTTAGTACCAGACCTCAAGTTACAAAAATGTAGTAGTAATAATAATGCATTATGCATATACATGATGTTAATTTTATGCATGCTTCTACCTTATAATGTAGCATAGTTGCTTCAAAAGAGAGAGGCTAATGCTACATTACATAATAACATGGCACTTTCAAATTTCTTTGGCTTCTAAATGCAAATTCAAATAGGTAAACAACAAACTGATTAATACCAGATCATCATCATCACGGATAAGTCCCTTATCGCTTCCTTCTCGTTCCCTGAGTAATTTATTTTCTTCTTCAAGTTGAGCACAGCGCGCTTTAGCAAATGCTAAATCCGCTTTAACGGTTTTTAGCTCACGAAGAAGTAATTTTGCTTTTGCTGCTGTTGCCAATGCCACCTGAAATCAAAACAAAAGAAAATGTAGCTTGTTTGGTTACATAAGAATTTAACAGAACTTGGATAGTAGAATATGTATGTTCCATATGTGAACTAAATTTAAATTCATCACATGAGAGGGACTAAGAACAGATTCTACTAAGTTTGGATAATTGAAGCAAAAAATTGACATTAGGTTTCATGCGAACATCACTAATTGAAGCAGGACAAATGATAATTGAAGTAATGGCTTTTTGATCGGTGGGACAGAAACGTCGTACCAACTGAAAAGCAGGGATAATATGTTTCTCGAGGCTTACACGGAGGAAACGAGAGCTTCTGGTGACGGCGGCGACTATGTCGGAGGGAGAAGCGCCTTTGGAGGCTAAAAATTGAAACTTAGGGAGAATGGTTTTGGTGGGGTTGGAGAGGATGAGTTGGGGGTTCTTGAGAATGATGGATTGGATTTGGGGAATGGAGAAACCATGGGTTTTGAAGAAGGCGATAACGGAGTTGGGTTTTTCGGGTGTGGTGAAAGTGAGACGGAGTCGTTTTGAGGCTTTGAGAGCGTCTTGTGGAGATAAGCCACAGTTGTTGGTGAAGTAGGATAGGGTGAAGGAATCTGAAGTGGTGGAGAAGGGATTGAGAGAGTGAAGAAGGTGGTGAGATTTTGGAGTTGAAGAAAGATGGTTGAGGTAGACAACAGCTTTGAGACGGTGAGAATGGAACATGATATCGGAGGGAGATTCAATACAATTATTACGGCAACAACTGCCTCAGACTGTCATTTGGAGCCCTCTCTCCCACAATCTACTGCAACTCTGAATTCATTTTGGAAATGATTTTAAAGTATAATTGATTTTGTTTGAGGAATTTATGTTTTTACACTTAGACCAACCCCAGGATAAGTTTTATTAAATTATTATTAATAATTATTAATTCAAATACAAAATATATTTATTGATATTTTATATCAAATTCATTTTTTATATTAAACGGTTTAAAATAATTTAAGAGTTTTTAATTTATATTATATATATTATGAGAGTTTTCAATTTATATTATATATATTATGACTTTTGAAATTATATCTTACATACGATAAACAATAATGTACATGAAAGAGAAATATAAAATTAGTCTAAATTTTAATTATTATTATATTTTTAATTTATATATTTATTAATGTTTGTGAAATCCATCGTTTATATTATTGAAATATATTTTTCTTTAAAATTTTCGAAATTAAATTAAGTATTTTATATTTTATGAAATATATAATATTTTTATCTATTTATATGTCACCACTAACATAAATTATCTCTTTATATATTACAATTAATATTTTTTTATTTTATTTTTATTCGTTAACTTTTTTTATCTCTAAATTTGTAAGAGTAAACTTTATTTAGTGATATTTATAATGTTTACGGAGTAGAAAATGAATTGATGTTTTATGTATTTTAAGAGCTTTTTAACTTTTTTACGGCGACGAGTGTTTTACCGTCGTGCCCATGAGAATTTTTAAAGGTTTTGGGTGCGACGGTTGTTTTACCGTCGTGAAATGAATTTTAGGACGGATAATTTTACCGTCGTGAAAGGTTTAAGGGTGCGACGGGTGCTTTACCGTCGTGATATGCCTTTTAGGACGGTTAATTTTACCGTCGTGACTAGTTGTTGGTGAAAAATCAATGTTAAAAGTGTTAAATGGGGGCCGACGGTTGTTTTACCGTCGTAATAATAATATTATGATGGTTAAATATACTGTCGCAAAATAAATATTAGGGACGGTTGGTGTCAACTGTCGTAAACACTGTCTCTATATGTCAACTACGACAGTTATCACATAACTGTCGCAATTTTTGTGTCGTTAAACACTAATTTTCTTGTAGTGATACAGTTGCTGTTTGAGGTTTCGCTACTGCAAGTTGTTTGACTAAAGCGGTCAGCTCGTCAATTCTGGTTTCTAAAGCTCTGTTCGAGGAACCTTGAATTTGATGTACACCCTTGGTCTGGACAGAATTGGTTCGAGTGGTGAACTGCTGGGAATTTAAGGACATATTTTCAATGAGGGCCCTGGCAGCAGCTGGAGTTTTGTCAACAAGTGCTCCACCACTAGCAGCATCAAGAATGTTTCTATCCATAGGTAACAACCCCTCATAAAAGTACTGAATGAGAAGTTGCTCGGTAATCTGATGTTGAGGGCAGCTTGAAACTAACTTCTTGAACCTATCCCAGTACTCAGCCAATGACTCGTTATCTTGTCTAATGCCACAAATCTCTTTTCGGATTGAAGCAGCTCTAGAGGCAGGAAAATATCTCTCCAAGAACACTCTTTTCAGAGCATTCCAGCTTGTGATTGAATTCGGTTCGAGATCATATATCCAATCCTTCGCTGCACCCTGCAAAGAAAAAGGAAAAGCACGAAGTTTTATATGATCTTCAGTGATCCCTTCAGGCTTCAATGGTGTAGAGCACACCACCTGGAATTCCTTCAAATGTTTGTGCGGATCCTCACCTGCAAGACCATTAAACTTTGGCAACAAGTGTATTAAACCCGATTTTAATTCAAAAGGAACAGCAACAGCACCATATTCAATACACAAGCCATTATAATTCACATCAGGGGCTGCAAGTTGTCTTAGAGTTCTATTGTCATCCATTTCAAAAGCAAATTCAGAATCAGAAGCAAACAAGTTATGCAAACAGTCGGACTCAGAATCAGACTCAACTATGGTCGGTGAAGGTGAACTATTGCTAGCCTGGCCTGCTCTACGAAGTGTGTGCAAGGTTCTTTCTACCTCAGGATCAAAAGCAACAAGTTCAGGACAAGAAGATCTAGTAGCCAGGACTATTGCACAGCAATGCAACAACAATCATGAAAATGCCAACTATGTCCCTAAAACAAACAAAATGAAGCAAATCGATTAAAAACAATTCAAAAAAATAAACTGACACCGAAAATAATCAAATGACGTAAAAATAAAATTTTGATAATTTTTTTGGATTTTTTTTGACTCTATGAAAACAGAAAATAAATCTTTAAAAATAGTAAAAAGGTTTTTTTCGCGATTCGAAATATTTTTCACATACTACTTTGTAGTAAGTGACTTTTGATCAGGGAATTTTTTTCACACCTAACTGTTGGGACAGATTTTCAAAACGGTGCAATTTTTCCGAAAACCGACTTTTCGACTCAAAAGGCGTTATGGCCGAAACCGCGAGGAACCTATGGCCAAAACGCACAAACACTACACTTAAGACTCTAATATCAGTTAATATTCACAAGAGTCCCCAGCAACGGCGCCAATTTGATCCGCTGTCGCGCGCGGGTCAAAAACGAGTTAAATTGCAAAACTGTAGTAACGACGATAACGGTAACTCGTGTATCGTCTCTCAAGGACTCTTGGGTTTTACTAACTAAAAACGAAATTGGGGGGGTTTGGTTTGGTTGAAAAATGATTATCAAAAGTGATTATGAAAATAAGTTGTTTTGAAAAAGTGATTATGAAAATAAGTCAATCTACCGATTCAGTTCCTACCAATCATCGATTATTAAAATCTCACTATCCTAAGCGGATTCCTTTCCTGTTCGATTACAATATAATCAACAAGCGCAACAATATTATACGAATTATATTTTTCGTTTGCCGAATTAAGCATCTGGTTAAGCGATAAACGGTTTAACGATTAAGCATACGATAAACACGCAGATAAATTGAAAAACATAGATCAATCGAACCAAACAATATATATTACGAATATCAAATTAAGCAAAAGATAAACAAAATATATAATTGAAGAAAAAGGAATTTTATTGCAAAACTTATAATAATCTCATAGTTTCGGAACCTGGATTCGGTAGATCAACCAAAAGTGATTAGTTCTCCATGGCCATTCGTACAAGCTTACAATCAAAATCGTCAATGGAAGATTCTGCTACAGTATCGCGGCTGCTACCCTAAGGGGAAAGAGTACAACCCGTTTTACAATCCAACTGGGTCAAACATACGACCCAGGCCCAAAACTAATTGACCCGAAACTTAATTAAAACTAGTGCTGCAACTTCAACGAATTTTCTGGCCCTTCTACAGTCCGATTCTGACTTCGACTCCAACATAAGAATTGTAGCTCTTTCTCTTAGCTTTCCGTCGATTATTAGAACGACTCAATCGGACTTCTGGAACTCCAGTTATGATCGTTTCCGTGCAGACTTCTAAAGCTGAAAATTAAATACGAAAATCAAATAACAATAAAAATAAATTAAAATATAAAAACATTATAAAATACAAAAATAAGACAAGAAAACCATGGAAATGTATAAGTACAACCGTAGAGTAATGTGCATCAAAATGCACTGATCAGCACACAAAAACATATAACTCATACTAACCTTAAATTCAGGGGTATCTTGAATCTTGAGAAACTCTTTCCATGCGTCTTCTGTAATAAAGTTATACTTGACATATGGAGGAGGATCATTTTCTATGGGATGATTAATATATCTGTCTGTGAGTTGTGTCTTAAAACCTCTCCATCGCTCTCCCGCATATTTAATCCATTCTTTCTTCAATCTATCCTTCTTTGGATCTTTACATTCTGGAATAGTAAAATGAGCCTACAAATATAATATATGTCATATGTTGTTAATTAGTATATGATTATAAAATATAATAAAGTATTGTATTTAAAATACCTGAATATCAGTCCAAATAGCATCTTTTACGCCTTCATCTACTTATTTCCAATCATTTTTCACAATAATACATTACTGTCGAGCAAGACATGCTATATAACTCTTAAAATGTGTAGCATTTTTACCAACACCAATACATTCATAGGTTCTTGCATTAAACTCAACCTTTATCTTTTCACCTGTTTGATGAACTTTGTCAATTTGTGTCATGAAAGTGGGACCTCTAACTCTTCTTTTATTGGGGTTACTAGATGAAGAAGGGTTGTCATTTGAATCACCCATGTATCTGTTTACACAAAATAAAATTAATTAGAAATAATATTAAACACAAAATAAAAATAATTAGAAATAAAATTAAGCACAAAATAAAAACAATTAGAAAATAAAGTAACGTGGAATTAACTTATAAAAAAAATCTTACTAGTCCTCCCATATCCCTTCTTCATGGTCTATGCGAATAGCATGCACATCATCCCCTTCATTTTATTCAATGAATGTAGTCACATTTATTGAGAAATGATGAGTTTCAGAAATATCAAGATTCTCATCATGATTTTCATCACTATCATGGACCTTTCCTTGTAAAACCACTGACCACTTTTTATTAGAAGGATCTGTGACATAAAACACTTGTTTTGCTTGAGATGCCATGATGAAAGGTTCGTTCGCATAAGCTAACTTGCTAAGATCAACCAGTGTAACTCCAAATTCATCGATTCTTACACCACTGTTGATATCAATCCATTTAAATACAGGAACTTTAAACACAACATAATTAACTTCCAAAATCTCTTCAATCACCCCAAAGTACAGTGTAGATGCCATAACGGGCTTTTATCTTTAGCACTAGAGAAGTGCATGGACTCGACTACAATCATTACCCCACTATTTTGCGTGGTACTACGTTCATCCTTTGACTTTGTATAAAAAGAGGTTTTATTAATATCATATCCACTCCAAGTAATTATGTTACATTTAGGCCCATAAGACAACCACTTAATTGTATTAGAAACACTATCTTCATTAGCAATAATT